AACCTTTTGTACTGGAGCGTCACGCTGCTGGAGTCCTGCGCCGATGTGAAGCCCCTCTTCTCCATCGCCGATGCGGACAACTGCCAGGACGTGGCTTCCGTGGCTTCCACTGGTTGAAAAAACGGTGGTGGACACCACCGAGCTGTTTGAAACCGCCTCCTTTTCCGGCCGGGCGGGGAGAGTGCACTTGACACTATGGTTTCTACCTCTCACCCCCCTTTTCCATGGTTCCAACCACTAAGTTATCAGAAACCGCCTGCTTTTGCAGCCAGGCTCTGCGAGTCAAGTCCTTCTTTTCCAGCTGGGTTGGGTGACTCGACCCCTTACAGAAACCCCAGTTGTGTTTTTACCATCAATCTGTTTAAACCAGCTTCTTGTTGAAACCATGGTTTCAAACACCCCGCTAGTGTTTTATTTCGAGCCGAGTTGGGCGCTGCAACCCCAACTATGGTCCCCATCACCAACCTCTTTAAGCCACCTCCTTTTTCAGCCAAGGCGAGTGAGCAGGTTAACACAATGATTTTAGTCTGACCCAGCATAGGTGTCCTTTTTGCTTGTTTTGCTAGAAAAATAGATGGCGATCCCTGGTTTACATGGTGGTTTCATCATCTACCAGCGAAACCCATCTATTTCCCCTTAAAGGACACCCATGTGAACCAGTTTCTTCTTCCGCCGCGTTCAGGGCGATCCCACCCGTTTGGTAGCTACGGATTGGGCGATTGAGGCTACTGAAAGGCACGACCTTTGACCTCTTGGCCTACGTGAGGGCGCTTCTTTTTGGCTTTCCCCCATGCGAGCTGATGCACCTTGGCCTGCTTTCACCGCCCTGTCCACTTAGCGACCATGCTCAAAGACCTCGATCTGTAGGTCAGATTCCTGTATTTTCCAAAGTTCATTCGAGCTTCGTCTCGCTTCAGCTGCGTCTTTTTCAACGCATGGAGCGAAGGTCAGAGGGTATGATTCCTGCAGAGGGCCAATCGTGGAAATCGGCCATATGGGATCGAGCAGGCTAGCGAGAAGGTGGATGGTCTGCCGAAAAGTTCCGGGAAGAAGACTCCCAGGATGAGGATCAGGGATCTTGTGAGAAACTCGATGAGACAAATGAATCAGGCAGGAGCATCAAGATGTGGTCCAACCTGCCCGAACTGGTTGTAGTCGCACGAGACCATCTCGACCACAGACAACTGCCCTTTCGGACTTGCCGGTTTTGGTCCTCTGTGTTCTCCGACCACTATTGTCATGTCCTCAATCTGTTCCTCGTTTGCCTCCACCCTCGTGACCCCTGCATGCTCATGGATGATGTCCCTGAGCCTAAGTCTTTCCAAGGCCAGCCACGAGCCACGCGCCTTCAGTCGCATTGGTTTCCAGTTCTAACGCAGGCTAACGCTCATACTACTCAACGTCTTGAAGGGTGTTGGTCTTTTGGCCCTTGGTTCCAACCACCGATCTTGCCTACCTGAGTAGATATTCCCATCGCACTCTGGGTCGGACCGCAGTGCCGAAGGGTGTCTTTCTGTGCCATATGACATATTTGTAGAATGGAGTCACGTCTATTCAGAAACAAGCAGAAACAATGCGGATCTAAACACGAAGCAGCTATCACCATCTTTCCAGTCGTGTTGGTCGGTTCAACTTGTCGAAACCATGGTTTCAATCACCACGCTGTGTTTACAACCACCTGTTTTCCCCAGGCAGGGCCGAGTCAACTCCTTGAAACCAGGGCGAACCACCTCCTTGTCCAGCTGTGTCGAGTCATTCCACCCCTTGTCGAAGGGTATGTTTGAACCACCGAACTCTGAAAACCGCCACCTTTCCCAGCGGAGTTGGGAAAGTCAACGCCTTGTTGACAGGATTGTTTGAACCGCCAAGCTGTTTGAAGCACATTTTGCTAATGTTGGAACATGTGGAAACATGGCTTGTGTGAGAAATTCTTGGCCAAAATGGCACTTGCCATTTTGGCTCGGACCAACCAGTCCAAAACTCAAAAATAAGCTTTCGCCTTCGCTCCCGCTCCCTTCCATTTCGCAATGGCATCCTCTACCTCAGCAACCTCGTTTGAGCTTGTGGAGGATCAGCGCCTCTCCGAGGAGGAGATCAAGCTTGCGGAGATGGAGCTCGAGGGACACCGTGTTGCGGAGGCGGCGGTTCGGGGAGGGTTGTGCCTGGAGGCGCAGGATGGACTCCCTCCCCAAGGCAATGTCCGAGCTGGAGGCCTGCCTGGCACGCCTCAACGTCACCTTCAAGGCCGAGTCCGGTTCCCGCCCAAGGCGCCTCCAGACCTGGTGGACTATGACCGCGTGTGCGCGGAGTGCGGCAGTGGGTGGCCATCCACTGCAGCGAAGTGCTGGGCCTGCACGAGCACCACGGCGGTCCCCTACCAGCGGCCCTCGGCGTCGCACGAGGCGGACGGTGTCCTCTGCAACCTGGTCATCCTCAACGGCAGTCCGACGTGGACCAGGGCATGGCCCTAAAAACAGGGGCACGATGGCAGACATGGTTTCGAGCGGCCAAGAGATCTTGTGCGCGGAGGCAGACGACGAGGCCATGGCGGTGCGCAAGGACAGAAAGTACACGGTGAAGACCCAGTACCACATGGCCAACCACGAGAACCAAGAGTTCAAGGTCTACCACCTGCAGATCGATCAGCGCAACAGACAACAGCTCGCGCAGTCCAAGCCTCCACGTCCAGGTAGCTCTGAAGGGTGGGGCGGGTGTGAGCCTCGGACGGAGGCTGCGGTGCAAAAGCCAATTTCAGAGTGCACCCCCCCTCGTTTTCTTCTGGGGACTACGGCCACTGTTGAGTGAAGCCGGTGGGATGGATGCCTGTCTTGGAAGTGACGGCTTCGAATGACGGGCCCTGGCCTTAACCGCTCGGCCTTGCGGCTCCACCCCCTGTTGGATAGTTTGGCTCATTCTGCGCTGAGCTGACTCAGCAAAGCGGAGGTGCGTTTGAGGTTTCCGGCCATCGCCGACCTTCTCCAATCCTACGGCCTTCCGGAGCCGGCAGACCAGTGTGTCATCCCCACGGAGTACTTCCACCAACTAGTTGCGGCGGATGGGGAGTTCTCCAACCAGTTTATCTGGAGGACCTGGATGACATCTGGTGCGCAACATGGTTTTTGCTCGCAGTCCACACCAGAAGGACATGCTCTTTTGGGACGACCCCCCCTGCTCCAACCGGAGCCCCTAAAGTGGAGACTGGCGACCGGGCAATGTCACGAGGTTCTGGACCTGTTCAGAACTTTGGCAACACTGTCTGCTTGCTGTGTGAGAACTTCAGGAAGCGTGGCTTCGCCGCCATCCCCTGGAAAGAGTCGCATGTCCGCTCCTTGCTCAACATGCTGGCAGAAGCGGAAGGGACCCCCCATAAACTCCAACAGGTGTGGCATACTCTGCGAGAAGCGAAGTGGCCTGGAAGAAGCCCTCACGGACACAGTTACCCAACCGCAGCGCAAGGCGGTGGTCCCGAGCAAGGGGGTGATTTGGGCGCTGGAAGAAGGGGCAGGGTGTGAGACCCTCTCGCCCAGTCCCAGGTCGAGACCGCCACGAATTTCTGGACTCGTTCATCCTTGGGCTCGCCCGGTTCCAGGTGGGATGCCGCGCGCGCTTCAACAACCTTCAGCACGTGCGCCTCCAACACGGTCGGGCTCAAGGCGTGGCAGCGGGGTTGTCTCGACCATCCGGCGCCTTGCAGCAGAGCAGAGAAGAAGTTTGGGGGGCATGATTACCTGGTAAGATTACCTGCCCACGGTGAGCGAGGACTTCTTGTCGGGGCTTATCCCCCGGCCGAGTGCAGCCGAGAGAGGCCTCCGGTGGCTCAAGACTGGTGGAGCCACTCTCCTAACATGTGCGGGAAAAACCTGAACCTGTCCAAAACTTAAAACCCGCCCACTCCTGTGACAGGGAATGGGCCATCTGCGAGGTTCCCGGCAGGGACTTGGACTTTGGGGATGGCCGGAATGGATTTGATGCAGCCAGATGAGGCTGCTTCAAGCCATCCGTCAGGCCAGGGGTGACCACGCCGGCGTAGACAGCTGGAAAACGCCTATCGGAAGCCTGGCAGTGACACCACCTATCTGAGGGCGCAGGATTGTGGGCTGGTCCGCCACTCCCTATCTGCCTCCGTCCAAGCAGGCCTTGCTTGCGCTGGTCAAACTTGCTGCGGGAGGGATGGAGTTGTACCAGAGCACCTGCCCACATCCGGCCTCGCGCTTCATTCTGGCATGCATCCTTGTTGGGGACTGGCCCTTGTACGCCACACCAGAATGGTGAGGTACATGAGACGGAGCAGGGTGCTGTCCGTTCTATTGGAGTCTGCGCCTAAGAGGATTGCATCTTTGGTGTTGCCTTGGGCCAAGGGGTCCCTCCTTCTAGTCGCGTGCCCATCCCAGCCTCCGGGAGCAGTCCCTGGAGGCCACTTGCAAAGTGCGGAGCCCATCGCGCCAGAGCGCCCGTCTCTGTTGTGGAACCCACAGTGGCAGCCTGTCACTTCGACATCGCAATTGTGGAACGTGCTTGGATGGTGGGGCGTCACAGACCTTCCTCACACTGGGCAGTTGTGGGATGATTTCTTTTTTGCGTTGTGGCCCCTTCGTTTCCTTGACTTCCCTTTCGATGACTTCTTCTTGGACTTTCAGAGGAGGGAGGGTGGGCGGGCTGCCAACCGCTTTGGCCCTTAGCCCTTTGCTCTCTTCTCCCACTGGCGCTGCCCCTTTTCCCGTTGTGCCCATCACGGATTTCTGAACGAACTCATAGACCTCGCGTTGCCAGAAGAGCAAGTCCGCCCTCATCAAATTAAGTCAAGGAGTCCGCCAGAGTCTTTCCATCTCATATATCTTCCTCCAATGCGTTTCGCTCACCAAGTACACTGGTTCCACATCCAGATCACCCAGGACGCGTTGGAGATGTTGGGCGCCCTTTTCCTCTGCAAAATCCTGTGTGGAGCGACAACCGGCGCTTATGGAACTTGTCCTTCTTCTGCACAGAAATGCCTGCTCGCTGGCGGCAAACCACATCCCCCGCGAGTTCAACAAGTGCCCCGAACCTCGTCGGCTGCAGTGAGGAGCTTCAGGTCGCTAAGTCAGACCTTTGCTCCAATTAATTGGCCCTCTCTCCCACGTGAGAACTTACCCTCTGATTTCGTCGCCCACCCAAGCTCCCGCGACCGGACTGCTCTTTTTGTGGCGTCCACTTCAGGGAAGCTTTCTCTGGATGGGATGTCACACCCACTCCAGACCGGTTTTTCAAACTGACAGGGCATCTACACAATGCTTGGACTCAAAAAGGGGGTGACCGCGTTTGTGTGTCGGCCTTTTTGGGTTAGCTTGCTTACACTTCTTTTCGAAAAGCACCAACGCTTCGAACCACTTGCGGGGTCCGAAGGCAACCTTTTGGGGGAAGCTTTGTGGGGCGAATTGGGGAGGGGCGACTCCCTGATTGTCCTTTTTTTGGTTTTGGGGCATATCAACTTGGCTTACCCTGGGCTAGGAATACGCCAACCCCTTTTCCAGGGTCCATGGCTGACGTGGCTTTCGCGTCCGGAGGAGCCTGTGGACTTGGCAACGAATCCCTCACTTCTCACTGTGCTCGCGGTGCTCATCGCTGCTCGCTGAGAGGGAAGGGGGAAGCTCTCCATTGAGCCACAATCAAAATTTGGGTAGATGAAGGTTAGTCAGGGACAATCCCAACCATAAATAGCCGCGGCCGCCTTTCTAATTCTTCACATGGTTCTGGGTAGACCATTTTACCACCGGGTGGAAAGCATAGGTGTCCTTTTGGGTGGTTTTGCTCGAAAAATAGATGGCGATTCCTGGTTTGCCTGGTGGTTCAATCATCTACCACGGCGTCTATTTCCCCCAAAAGGACAGTTGACACCTAAGGTGGAAAGGGGAAGCTCCCTCGGAGTTTTAAAAACACAAACGCCCGGCTGACTCGATCAAACCTCCAAAACTGCTTTCCTTGGACAAGACTCCCCCGATTCCGATTTTCGGGTTACCCTCCCAGAATCTTTCACACAGCCTGACGTTCGGGGAACCAGTCCTGGTTCGGGCCATTTTTCCTTCGAAAAGGACCGGATCCCGAAGGTCAGGTTCCATGTGAATTGGTGGGAGATGAAGTCGCCAACGCTCAGAAGCTCCCCCGCTTTGTGAGGTGCAAACAACCCTGCCAATTTAAGGCTAATTTTGCGCCGCAAAAGCCAGGAAGGCACCTTCGCAACCCAGCGGTTCTGAAACTTTCGCGGCAAGTTCCGGTGAAAGGCTTGGGTTACAGGACATTCTGTACAGGAAAACAGCTTGTTGCGGTGGGGCCTCTTCCTGTATACATATTTTTCCTGTCAAAGCCTTGGATCCATGCCATAACTGCAGCCTGAGGTAGTGTACCTGCAGGGCTATGCCGTATGGGCTTGTCGTCGAGATCACAGCCGCTCAGATGCCCGGAAGCAGTTCGGTCTGCTCTTCAATCCCACCCGGAGTGACTACTATATGTGGCCCGCGCTGACGACGGCACGTTTTATCGGTTTTTCTCAATCCTTTTTCTTTGTTTTTTGCGGAAGGGCTTCCCTGTAAAATCAACTGCTACCCTCCGCACTTAGTTCAGGCAAGCCTGAGTTGGTGAGAACGGGGGATTTTTCACATCCGATAAGTGAGACACCTGCCCTCAAATCCAAGCCGAGAGAAGCTGAAGGTGGTGCTTCTTCGAGGGGCTCTACATCCTGGTGCTGTGCATTGCCAGCGCTTCGGTGCCGAAGGGCACCGGATTTCTGCGGCAGGCGATATGCCTGGCCCTCTATGTGAGCTACTTCATCCTGCTGGTCAGCCTGGACGGGCGCGGGACTTGTGAGACTAGGTCCAGCTAAGTGCCCTAGCCCCGTTTTTTGTTGGGAGGGTTCCCCTACAAAAACAAAAGCTACAGAAAAAGTTGGTACCCACTTATTCTAACCTTATCTACTGGAGGCGGAGAGAAGCTCAGAGAGCTCGCTTCTGGACTTGGTCCGGTATTTGTTGGGCCAATGCCATGGACGTGTTTCGGGTTGGCTGAGGGGTTGGGTCGCTTGAGTGTTGGTGTAGCAAGGAGGGCCCAGGCCACGGCCGCTGGTGTACATTGGCGATGGACCAGGTGTGCAAAGGAAACGTGCAAGGTGTGAGGACATCCATGCACTCTCCAGCAACCCGTGGTTTCACAGCGAGGGTCATCAAAGCTCCGCATGCAGAGCGTGCCCCTTTCACTTTGCCCCACAAATCGGCGCCAGCTAAAGTGTTGCAGTCAGAGCCGCCAGGTTTGCCATGGCTCAGAACCGCTGCTTGCTTCCGCGGGATTCAGAAGGTTCGATTGCCATGGACCACCGCTCTTAGGGGGGATTTTTGCAGGGGCAAACAGAGTCCAAGAGCCTGCCGACAGCGGGACAGCACTCACTGACACAAGCCGGGCAAAGAACGGACAAGGCGTTGGCTGGCTCGTCCTTGGAGGGCAGTTGCATGAAGGGCTCTCATATCCGCTGTTGTGATTTCTGAACGCACAGGAGAGGCGTTATTGGCTGACCTTGTTTCAAAATGTGCAAAGGCGCGTAGTGAGCTGGCTTTGCGCTCTAGTCACAAGGGTGGCAATGCGCTAAATGATGCAGCATGGCCCATGGGCGTTGGCAAAGCCATTTTCGCTCCACACCTCTTTGCTGGGACATAACAAACGCGCCGCAGTATGTTGGCATCGCAGCAGCAAGAGCAATCAGCCCACGCCGCAAACGCTGCCTGCAATGTCAGAGTTTTGTATCCGGCTTTGGCTTAGGAGTTGCTGCAGGAATGCGGGGCCGTCCTTGAAGACTTGCCCAAGAGCTTTTACATGGTGCTGCTTCAGCAGGGTGGCAAAGTTCTGGCAAAAACCTGTGCGTTGGTGTCAAAGGCTCGATGCTGCAGTGCTTCTGGTCATGTTTGAGATTGCGCGCTCTGCGGCGGGCGTCAGGTGATGCCACGCGCCTGCATTGCACGTCAGGACGTCAGGTGGCTCACGCACACAGCTTCGCCTATTGTTACCTTAAAGGCATTGCCTAGGTGCTTATTTCGCACCTCGGGGCTTTGGCGCGGGCACCTCCGCCCCCCTACAATGCGTCGTGCCTCGTTTGCATTTCGCGGCCCATTGCTCCATTGCTGTCAAGCATTTCCCTTAGTGTCTATAACACGGAACATTTTGCAGCATGGCGCTTCTTGTTGGATCCGACACTTCGACGCAAGAGGCTTGATCGCAGTACCCCTCGGCTTCTGGCCGTCATAACTGCCTCTGTTGCGCCATGACTCAAGTTAAGCTGGTGTCCATGCAAGAAAATCGCTGTCCAAGTCGCGCGTAGCGTATCGTGCCACGACACTCCGGGCAGGTGCAACCCTGTTGCTCCTGTAAAGCTCTGAGATAACCCTCCCTGCTCCAACTGCAACAGTAGCTGAGAAGACGACGTCGGCAAGCCGGGTTCCTGGCCAAGACCACGCCATCTTTCAGCAAGTTTGGGCTGTGGGGCAGGTGTGGGGTTGGCTTGCTTTCGGGTTGGTTTAGGCTTAGCGCAGGGTGGGTTGAGGGTGGGAAGGGTCGGCTGGTTTCGGTCGGTTTGCTTTAGGGCGGCACGTGCGTAGGGAGTGCTTATATTCAGGTTGGGTTTTCAGGGTGAGGGTGAGGTCAAGATTCTTGGCTTTCAGCTCCATGTTTTCGCCCAACAAGTTGCAATTTCTGGCTCCTCAGCGTTTTTTTCCCACATTCCCTTCTTGGTCCGCCGATCTCCTCCTCAATCTTTGACCAAACGGGCTTCTTTCCGGGCTTGAACAGATTTCAACACTGTAGCTTCCGAGTACCAATTTCAATCACACCTGGTCACCTGGTTCATAATACGGTCAACCCGTGTACACTTGGCTGGGTTGCCGGGTGGTAAGCAAACAATGGGCAGGACCCCTTCCTGCCGGTCAGCGCCCGGGCGTTGTACCACATCAAGCGAGATATTGCGATAGAGCAATTCGCTCTGAGCATTATCTTGCTCTTTGAACGGCTTATGGACCTCCTGTCACTTCCTGAGACCCTTAGACAGCACCGGCATGGCCTTTCGTTTCACGAGCAAATTCACATTTTTGTTTTGTGGCGGAGGGGGGGGTTCCTTCTTGCAGGAGATTATGAATGCCCCAAGAATCCTGGCACCTCCAAAAACCCCTTTAGCTTCAAACCGTTCGAATGCCGAAGCTGACCTTTTGAATGGAGGGTATGATGCTTGGGTTGGTGACATCCAACCCGCGCTGATTGAATTGGCGCGGAATCATTCCAAGGGTTTCTGAAAAGAGGCTCAGGGATGACGCCGGAGCGGAACATGTTTCAAAAGCAGGGTCGAATGAAAAAGCCGAGAAAGAACCTTGCGTGGGGTAATTTCCAAGTGGGTGTGGGTCAAAATTAAGCCAGGAATTGGACCGCAGGTTTTAGTCTTTGGTTCCATTTACTTGGGTTCCATTTTGGGTACCTATTGTCGACCCACAGCCAAGTGGGTGTTGTCCCAAGTTGAAAATGCCAACACCCTCAGAGTCATGTTTGCAGCTCTGAGTGTTCTCAACTCTGAGGACACTGGGCTACGAATTCTCTTATCACAGTCTCTCAGTTGCCCAAAGCGAATCGACCTTTTGACCTTTTGGTTTTCTCGTTTTGGTCCATTTTTAGTAATGGTCCCAAAAGGTTAACCTTCTATTTCCAGGTCCTTTGGGCAACTGAGGTCTCACTCTTGACATTTGTGTCTCAGTGGCAGTGATTCGCGTGACGATTCTGATCCTGTACAAGTACGCGCGCAACAGCGAATTGGCAGCATTTTGTGCCGTGTGCTCAGCTCGCATCGTGAGGCTCCTCGAAAAGGCCATTTGATTTGGGAGGTTTTTGGGTTTTATATACCAGAGCCCTACAGCGCACCCTTCGGACCAACCAGAATCCCCAAAGCATCGCAACTTGTCCCCATTTCTCTACAGAAAAACGACATCCGTATTTGCACGCT